CTTTAACTGCAATGGCTCAGAATTCAGGGATTTCTAGTTACTCTTTTTGAACAACAATTTTTATTAATTTTCCTTTATGATACAACACAACTATTCGATCCCACATAATCTACAAACAAAAAATATATAACATCATATAGCAACATATCCTACCTCACCTCCACTTCACATTCTTTCTCTGTAATTTCTTTACTTTCTGCTTGTATCCCTTCTACAATCTTTCTGAACCTTTCTCTATCTCCTCTCCTCCTCAGTCTTCTTCTTCCTTCTTTCTATTCTTCCCTTTTTTAAAAATAACCCCTCTTTTTACTTTGTATTCTTCTCCCATCCCACCTACTCAACTCATACCGTCTATCACATACTTTACCTTTTAAACCTTGATCGTTCCTTACTTGTTTTACCTACAATTTCCCTTTTCTACCTACCCTTCTTATTCTAAAAACAACAAACAAAAAGACATTTTTAAAAGAAATACACTTGCACTTACAATTTCATTTAACTTCCTCATCACTGGCTTGTTTATTTACTTCTTAGGTATTGACCTTCTAGATTCTCCATCTTTGTAACCTTATTGCTACTGTGTATATATCTTTCTCTTGATAACTTTTCTTTTTAACTATCTTAATCCTCTTATGTTACTATATGTGTGCATGTGTGTGTGTGTGTGTTATTTGTTGCCTTCATAGTATAGTATGTACCCTTATACATGTCTTTCTCATTCTATTCACCCATTTCTACTCATATTTATTGTCACATTATTACCTCAAACTTATAACTGCTGTTTGGTAATAAAATTTATGAGAGTGCAATGGGGAGAAATAGGATTTCTAGTTCTGTGAGCTATTTAGCCTTCTCTGTCAGAGAGCTTTGGTCCCACAACAAACTATAATTCCCAGAATCCCATAGCATTGAGCCATGGCAGTTAAAGTGTGTCAAACTGCATTATTTCTGCAGTGCAGATGCAGCCTAGGTCTCTAATCATATTATCACATAATTAAGTCAAACTATCCATTGCCCTTGTTCTTTGCAACTATCTAATTTGTTCTGGAACAAATGCCCCAGACTTGGCACCTTCTAGATATGTTGGACAACAATACCCATAATCCCCACCAGCATAACTATGCTTCCTGAAGATGATGGAGAGATGCACATTTGAAGGACTCCAGATTGGGAAAGCCTGTTTCAGAAAAATGTGGACAGAGAAGAAGACCTGTCTTGGACCTTCCAGTCTCTGATCATAAGATAAGCTATGATCCAAGCTCTTCAGCTTCCATATTCATCTCACCTTGGGAGAGGAAAA